AAAAGATGTCCTTTAATTCAAAGAATGCGCTACACCAAGATGATTGCAATTGGCAGAGAGAAATCAAGCCGTGATTTCGTATCGGAATTGGCGAGAAAACGTGTCTTATGCTTTGAACGGAATATTTCAAACAGCTCTTGTGATCGAAGAAAGGAGGTGTCGTTTTACGCAAACAAGCGAATCAAGGGAAGCAATGCTTTATTAGCCAATCTATCCACAAGAGATCTTCAACAGTTGCTGACTTCGACATCCAGAAACTCTGCTCTGTTTCCTGATGAAATTGCTGTTTTTGGTTGGGTGCCTTTTAAAGTTGATGAAAGAAATTCCGCAGACATAAAAGCAGAATGTGAAATTTTTGCATCGTTTGGTAAGATCAGTCAAAAATCCGCCAATACTCCAAGCTTCCTCAGCGCTGTGACCACTTTTTGTTGTCCACGAGGTTTGTACACAAACATAGACTTGTTCGGAAAAGAAAACGAAATCAGCATCGCAAAGTACCACATTACAAGTCACGTTCAACGTGGGCTCAGTCATGCATATAAACTGGGGGCTAGTTATCTTTTTGTCGGGTTAGTTGCACCGATGGATTTCCCAGATGACAAACTCAAGGACATGGCCTATGAGTTGGGGTTGGAATCGAGTTATGTGGACAACGGAGCTTGCGATAATTACTTGTTGGCATTAAACGTGGAGCTTGCGGATATGTTGCAGTGAGTCCATTATGTCACTGCGAGCAGATCTGTTCAACAGTATGCAGAACCTTGGTACTTGCGGCTGTTTCACAATCAGGGTGAACAATTAAATGTGGTTAATGTTACAAGTGTCTGATAAATTAACAATTTATGATTGGAGATTGCTGATAGACTGATATCAAAGACACTGTTCATAGGAGCAAAATAAAAAAGAATTATAATAATCGGACTACAATTTACAAAAATATGGCCAATTATATGTCCAAAAAGTACCTATTTCTAGCTGTTACGATGGGTCATTTGCAACTTAGGTCATAAATATGATGCACTAGCTCTTTATGTCAATGATTTATGGTGAATATGATATTGGTATATAATTCCCACAACATATGTCTTCTCCTCTAGCAGGTTCTTCCAAAGATATCTTCTGAGTAAAAATTTATTTTAACCATTTTGCTGAAATAGGCTTTTGTACACATTTTACTTATTGTTGTTATTGCAATGAAAAACATATTTGATAAGGCCAAATATTACTTTGAAATCACCTACGTGATCATAAGAATTTACCATGTTATGACTTAAAAATAAGAAAGGAGTTGTGCATATGTAACCATTATTATTAATGCTACGGTATTTATAATCATGAGCCCCTTGGTGTCTACTACTTTTTGTAGTGTCCGTACCCCCTATCTATTTTATTTAGGAATCACAGCATATTCTGTCTGATTTTATTATTCTATAATGTCTACACTGACACTTATTTTGCAGGAAAAAATAGCACATAACCCCTTATTATGAAAAGATATACACAAATTTGGTGCCAAATGTAGTGTCCGTACCCCTACTGTAGTGTCCGTACCCCCAAGTTATACATTAACCATTGATAACTGGCTACATATCAATGATGATAAAACTTCAAAATATGATGCAAAATATTGTTTTAGACTATATAAAATGCATTCTTGTCTTATGATGTTTAGAAAAAACATTGTATATAAATATATATTCGATAAAGTGATACTGATTAATTAGAGTCAGGCAAGAGATTTAGCAAAGAAATAATATCAGTTAAGATGCTACTCTTTGCATTCAAAATGAACAATATTGGTTTGAATATATTGTCAAATATAGCTAATTGCAAAATAATAAATTGTTTATGGATTAATATTCTATGGATTAATGTATATGATATATTTTGAGGGGGTACGAACACTTCAATACATGAATAATTAACAGTACATTTATTATACTCTCAGTGAATGAAGTATCAAATATGGATGACAATAAACAAAAAGCCAAACAGGAAAAGAAAAAGGGATCCTGAATATTTTACTGTCAGCAAAAAATAATTTTGAAAAAAAAGACGTCAAAGAGCTAATATCCGTAAAGATGCTAATAATCTTGCTGAAGCACGTAAGGAAGACGTTGAATGCACGTAACATAGCATAGAAGCAAAAAAAAAGAAGAATCATCCTAGGCTGGCCCAGCAAGAAAGACTAAAGTAAAGAGAAGAAATTAGGGCATACTGACAGAGAGTTAAGGAGAAGCAGAAACCCAACAATCCTGAAAACAGTAGAACAAGAGGTGCAAATTAACGAGAGATGAAAAAGAAGAAAAGACTCCAAAAACAGGAATCAAGACTGAAACAAAAAAATGAATAGATAAAAAAGGTCAAGCAACAGAAAGAAAAGTTTAAATGAATGAAAGTCACACTGAATGACACACAACCAAGCTCCAGCATCCACTGAAAAACGTGCAGTTGTGTTTCTCTAAAAAAACTCTTTGATAAATACATGTACTTGTATCCTTTTGGTTAAAGTACTGCTGTTATATCTTTAGTTTGACATTTTTAGACTTTTGGCAAAAATAACTAGTAAACAATATGATATTTCAGTAACAAAAGCATCAGTTACTTGAATGTGTAGTGTCCGTGCCCCCAGATCATAGTCTAAGGGGCGTTCTGTTAATTTGAGCGTAGCACAAAAAGTAATTAATCTTGTGCTCTAAAAATTGTAGATATCATAGTTAATATGTTATTCTTTTTATCTGTTACAAAATTAAACAAATGCATCAGAGTTCATTTTTCTCTCAATGTGACCCCTATTTTGTACCCCTGATCGTGAAACTGCCGTTGGTACTACAACGTGCTCTCAGACAGATAGTGTCTGACATGTTTTTATTTTTCATACATTTGCATAAAAATGGAAAATGTTACGTTCTTTATTTGACATCATAATTTAGAAAGAGCAGTCCAGTACTTATGTCTGTTCACTACTAACATGTATGTCCTCTCGTGTGTTGCTGCCGTAAAAACACAATGCAAAATGTAGGGGAGACCAGGGCTAGTTGGCCCAGTTAGACACTTTTGGCCTTGTAAAGCCAACTAGGAATGAGTTAGAGTAACAAAACCGGTTTTAAAGTAAGGCCCATGAACTAAGCTACGTATGCGACGTCATTATTTTTCAAATTGACAAAAAACACAGTTGACGTCAAGGGGGCCAACTTGCCTCGCTACGGGGCAAGTTGGCCCCAGGATCGGGGCAAGTTGGCCCCCCTACACGAAAATGAAGTATATATCCCATGTAAACGCCTTGAAATACATTTTTATACATTTTGAATTTATTAGATTGATTTTTGGGAGTCTTTGATGAATAAATAGTTCAAATGAGGCAGATTTATTGAGGTTTCCGTGCGTCACGTTGTAGGGGGGGGGGGGGTATGTGCTGCAAGAACCAAAATATCTATCAATAAAATTCGTTTTGTTTTCATTAAGAATACATTAATAATGGTATAAATCAGGTTTTTAATGAATGAAAACGAATAATAAATTTTCGTTTTAAAAGAAAGTAACAAGTTCAGTTTTAAACCATTGACTTTGTTTCAACAATTGTCTCTAGCTAGGGAGGGGTGGAAAATCCCCTTGGGGCCACATATAACACTATAAATACAAAGCGAATCCCCTTAAAATGAATTAAGGCAAAATAAATGTTTTTCTAAGGAAAGTCGAATGGATTTGCTTTTTAATTCATACAATCAACAGAACATTTCTAATATAAATTTTCGAAAAGACACCAGAGAGCAAATTAAATAAAATCAATCAGAAGGTAAACACCGGCAAGCTTTGTCAATTTCACCAACTTGTTAATTTCAAACAGCGTTGCGCGCAAAGGATTGTGGATAATATGAGGGTCCAACTTGCCCCAAGTCTAGGGGGCCAACTAGCCCCTGGTGCACCTTTTTTATTTTAAAGGGTGGCAGCCATTTATGATGCTAGAATGAGCAACGATGATATATCTCAGTGAAACTTGAAACAATGAGTTTCAGTTTGATGCCCTATACATATATTATATTCGATTAAAAGCCTATGAAAATAGATTTTTAGTTCTCTTAAACAAAATTACTTTTAGTTGCAAAAATCGTTTATTTGGACTCGCCTCTTAAGTAAAACTTTTTAACGTCCGACACTTCCTTAGCATTGTAGGCTACGGTCACTTTACAAGAGTATGTGGCCAATTTTTTTACCTCGTAGTTACTTTTTCATAAATTGACGGGGGGCCAACTTACCCCGGGGTCCAACTAGCCCCGGTCTCCCCTACTAAACTCCATATTCGAAAACCATACACTGTCGTCCGATAGGACAGTCAAAATATTCGACTATGATTATTAAACGTTGATTCCAACAATTATACCTTTAGAATTCATAGTTGTTATCGTAAGGAATTATTCATGCGCGAAATCTGCTCAGATCGCAAAAAAAATGTTAATATGAGGGACCCTCTAGCTACATAACTCAAAAAAATTTTTTTTTTTTTTTTTTTTTTTGCAAATATGCCAGACGCCTTACAACTTAAAACCACAACTAACGTTAGGGGGGACAACTTGCTCCGTGGTGGTTCACTTTATACTATTATGTGAATTTTTTTTTTATCTCGTAGTTACATTTTCATAAATTGACAAGGGGCCAACTTATCCCGATGTAACGTGACAGAGAGTCCCTTATGATAGAGAGTCCCATATCCATTCATTAAGCCTCACCCCAGGTTTTGGCCCACTTGCCCTGTAGGTCAGGCTAACCCTAACGAGGGAATTATATCGTAGACGCTATAACCCCCTGATCTCCCCTGCCTTAACCATTATAACTAAATATAGGGCGGACCTTCTGTAACACGGCCCTTAAGTTTCGTTACAAATTGATTGCTTTTTTATTGCAATACATCATTTTTGTTACTTTTCGTGTCGTCAAGGGAAATGTTGCTGATTTTAAGGTTATTAGGCCTATATAAAGAGCTAGTTTTGATACGCTTGAAATGGTGCAAAATAATGCAGTATTTATTTCTAAAACGGAATACCAATAACAACATGAATATTTGCAGACCAGATCTTTACTCTGCGAAAAAAAAACAGTGACCTTTGTGTTATTTATAAATAACATGATGGCTAAATGAGGTCCTTATCCTTTGTAAGGGGTCGACGGTTAGCCGTGGTAATATGGAATTAGTGAGTGGTAGTTTTAAAAATATATACATCTTTTAACTTTAATCCTTAAATTCTTCATGACCATATACACTACAATAACAAGAATACAATGAGTTTACTTAAAAGAATCCGTTGCATTAATTTTTTCGATCAAGTCAAACAGTTAAACCCGTAGAGAAACTGATAATTCGTTTCCCTCAAATGTTTAGTTTGTAGGTTTGTAGGCTTAAGAAATATTCCTTTTTTTAAACAATTCTTTTCAAGTTGGGTCTAAGTGTCAAGGTTTCATTCAAGTGAATACACAAATCGTGCTAAAACACTGTATTTTATAGACAATATTCCCGGGTTGTACTATTCAGATGTTCTTATTATTCTTGGTACTCTCTCATGGGGTACTCTCTTTCTGGTTGAAGCGCTAGATGGGGGAAGGAATATGCTGGATTTGGTGTGCCCGAACTGTAACGAGAATCTGGTCTGCCTCCGCCAATCAGTGATCTGTCTTTGCTACTTCCGGAAGCGCAACATGCACAGCAGACGACAAGCATAACTATCAAGGTGACGACTGTTAGAACGATGAGCCAAATGAGAAGAATCATCACCACGGTGTTAGTCAACAGTGGAGAGTTGTTTATTGCTGCGGCTAAAAGAAAATAACAATTATGAATAATAATTTAGGACGATGATATCAGTTCATTCTAAAGTTCACGTTTCAGTTTCTTCGCAACAATAGGCCTGCTGCATAAATTACCGTATTACCATTTTCCACGCAGAGGAATATTGGCTGTTCACCAAGTATTATAAATAATACCTTACCAAGAATTATAAATAACATACGCAACGTGTGAATAATTATGTACAGCATTCTACTACATGTATATAAAGACATACGAGACAGCAACATGTTTCATTGCCAAGGATATTCAACTATGATATGCAAACTCAGTTTGATAAGAAACCAATAAATCTCAAATGCTGGTCCTTCCTACACACAGTAATTAGCATTTTGATGGCATGACACAATATGAGCTTATTTGGTCTCGAAGTGAGCATTCTTCACACAACTTGTGTAAATTCAAATCAGTATATCTTAAAATATCAAGCAGGAAGGTCGACTTAAGGCACTTACCCTGCTTCGCCGCGTCACCTGTCTGTGCGTCGGCATTCCTTTTGGCGTCGGAAGCGGCGTCAATGGCGGCTTGTACGCCAGACAAACTGTTCACTTCCTTGAACAGTTGGTCTGCCTGGACAACTAATGTTTGCAAGTTGCTTGCGTCAACGTTAACGCAAATATGTGAACCTGGGGTGTCGATACATGAACTGGGTCCACAGTTGCCATTGTTTGTTGCACATTCATCTATATCTGGATAAAACGTTTAAGTATACATGTATAAGTAAAATTTCTAAATTAAAGAAAGAAAAAATAAAGAGGATTTTCGAATAAAAAGGGGCATGTGTTCATCACGAGGCAAATGCTAATACATAATGAGCACGGTCCAAATTGTTAGCTGGATTTCTTTTTTTGTCAAAAATACATTTATGACATAGGCCTACACAATATAGTTTTACAATCACGCATTAACTTTAAAGCATAACAATAAACATCGGATTTTTATTTAGTTGAATTATCACGTAATGTTGCCATACTTATGCACTTTCTGTTGTCTGCTGCAAGTGTGAAGCCCGACCTACAGGAACACACGTAGGACCCTATCTGGTTCTCACAGCTGTGTTGACAACGACCGTTGTTCACAGAACACTCGTCTATGTCTGAAAAAAGTAGGGTAGGAATAAAGATATGATTATGGAAGACTTAAGTCATGTGGACCGTTTGACAGCTTTTATAAAAAGTGTCAGGAAGAAATTCCCGCTTGTATCTTATTGACCACAACATTTTGAGTACTTTTACACACCGTACACAGATAATCGTTTGAGAAAAAATATGAACAAGAGTAGAGGATTTTGAAAATCGACTCTAATCCCAGATATAAAATATTGAATAAATTCTTAACACCATCTAAACGTTGTGCCAAAACAGCATTTTATTAAGTTTTTTAAATAATATATCTGGATGCCTACCATACTGGCACCTCTCTCCTTCATACCCCGGGGCGCACGTGCAGACGAAAGATTTGTAATCATCACGGCAGCTCCCGCCATTTTGACAGGGATTGGACGAACACTGATCAACGAGATCTGTAATGCACAATTGGTCATTTTAGTATTCAGAACATCATCACTATCAGACGTTGTACCGATATCCAAAATAGGTAAGTTTACGGCTTACAGGCACAGCGTACATAACAATAGCCGATATAACACATTTTTCAAGTTTTTCTTTAGAATTTTAAAAGTGAAAATCAAGGTAACTAAATTTATATTATTTCACAGTAATAATAATAAGTTACAACAATAATTATTACCATAAGTTTAATAATAGACAGCAAACACAAGGTTGAAGTTGTACATAAACTGGATTAAAATAAAAATTACAAATTAAAACATTTCTATAAGATAAAGGTATACCTCTAGCAATACCGTCCCCACTTGGTCCCACAGGGCCTCGTGGTCCTGCTGGACCTTGGTCTCCTGGTTCTCCTTTAGCTCCTCGAGCTCCTTGGTCCCCTGTTGGTCCTTTGAGTCCCTCGGGTCCTTGTGCCCCTGTTATACCTTGGTTACCTACAGCACCTGATGGTCCCTAGATGAACAGGTTACACACTGTGTTACATATGTTAGACTTTTAGTGATTTTTTTCCTTTTTTCCCTTCTTTTTCTTTTTTCTAACTTTCATCCTTTCTTTTTCTTTTCTTTGTTGATATTTAAATACGATATTCATTTACATATTTAAAGACAAGATAGATCGTCAAATATTTGAAAAGAAAGATTGTGGCCGGTAACAAATCAAACGAAAATGTAAAAAAAATATATATATTTTAAAAAGTTAGAAGAAAACCAATGGATAATCAGCCTTTTACAAATCTTAACATATAACTTGCTGAGTGAAAAGAGAATCGACGACAGATAGTTTCATTGCACTTTTAGATGATTCAGTTTACATAAACATCAAATATTAACCTGGCCACCGGTATCTCCTCTCTGGCCCTGTGAGCCCGTGGCACCTTGGGGTCCCACAGGTCCTTGAGCGCCAGACCCACCCTGAGCCCCAGTCACCCCTGTGGGCCCTGGGTCACCCTGTGGGCCTTTCAGCCCTGGGTTGCCTCGAACGCCTTGTGACCCTGGTGGCCCTGGTGCCCCTTGATCTCCTGTAGATCCAAATGGCCCTGTTGGCCCAACATCCCCTTGGTCTCCTTGTGCACCCTGAATAACGAAATTTAAAAACATAGTGTTTTTCTGATATGGTTTAATATTACTAATTAGTCATGTAATATGTACGGCTTTCTTTTTGAAAAAAAAACATCGGTAAGAGGTACCATGTTGTGTTATCAGTGTGTCAAGCATGTGCAGCTTTAACATTTAAAACGCTTTATTTTATGGAGGGACTTGAAAAGAGCAATGAGCGTTTTGACCGAATATCCATGTAGAACATATTTTATTTGGATTAAATAAACCTTATATATTGTGCATAGTATTTTAAAAATTATCTCTTAATTATAGATTTGTGTGGGACAAAAATGCTGTATTCTACGATGAATTCAAAACGACAGGGCTTTTTTCACCTGATTCCCAGTTGGTCCCCTATCACCGTTTTCTCCCTGAGGTCCTGGAGGCCCTGGGGGTCCAGGGGGTCCTTGCACCACTTGTTGACACAAACCTGAAAGTACATGTGTAGGTATTTCGATGAGTAGCTCATCGTCTCTTTCAAGTCGCATATACTAAAGCAGGTTCGCAATGAAGCGTGTTACACAGATTTCGTTCATTTTCAGAACTTTTCTTCTTTCACACGTCCCTAGAATTTGTACATGTACATTGTGACCAAAAGATACCCGAAGGATGTCTTGCTGGCAAATTCTAAATAATGACCTAAATAAGCCAATCAAGCATTTTACATTATTCGTCGCTTATTTCAGTTAATACAGGTGATTATTCTCCTCCCCCAGTACATGGAAGGAAACTGTGAATTAACCAAGGTTGGACTAAAATAGATCAACATTTTGACAGTTGTTACACACTACAAGATACCTCTCCAACAATCGATGTATAGGCCTACCTTGGTATGCAGTTGGAAACATGATCCCGTGAACTAGCTACATGTATACCAGTATTTTGAAGTGAATATTGGGGACAACACCATTTTGATATATGTTGATATTAAATCTAAAATAACCTAACAGTTTAATAATAGAAAGAATTATATTTTACCTGGAGCTAGTAACCAGACAGCGAAAGAAAACAGAAACAGCCTCATTGTCTTCCTGAAATGTATAAGTTGTGCAATAATCAACATTTGGCACTGACAACGTGGGCACGCAATCTTCTGAATAATTTAGTTTGGCCGCTGAAAGTGTTATGCATGTTAAACTATCGTTAAAAAAAACCCTAAATTGTTGTCAAAGCACGACTAAGATGGCTAGGATTTTGAATCTGTTGATAAGAAGTGATAGTCATAGGTACAAAGGATCACTGAGACAAAATGTAATACCTGCACTACTGATGGATATATTTAGACACGAGAGTCGTGAGAACGTGATCATACACACTGAGTAATGTGTCATAAATAAGTTTTCAATATCTAAGAGAAGACAGAAAGATACATCAAAGTACAGGTTGATAAAGACCTGTCCAGTCATAGAATGTTAGAATCTGTCTTTTAAAGACAAAGACCTGATTTATGTTTCCCCCGAGCCACAGGAGCTATAAATCAGCTGCATCTGCCCCAGGTAATAGACACACCTTAATTGGTGATATATTCCTCACTACCCAGAGATTGCTATTTTCTTTCTCGTGTTTATGTATTATATGTCATTTTAAACAATTACAAGATCGTTGACCTTATTTTGTTATTGTTTCTTTAACTGCACTGTTGTACATGCATCGTGGCCAAATAGACAGGTGTCACAACATTACTATTTTACACACTGGTTATGGCGAAACTCTCACTGTACGGGAACTTCACATTCACATATAGTAGAATTACCTTGACGTAAGTTTATTCAGGTGACAGAGACTCCATTTTAGTACGAGCGCAAGAAAGTGTTCATACCTGAGTTAATGATGCAGCAAAGACGTAACCATCGAGAATTATCCCCTGCCACACCCTTGTCAATCCATAGGGACGCCAACGATCCCTTTACCCCAGCTTAAAACCAAAATGGCCGTGCTTAAATTTGGTATTCAATGGTAAACAAAACTCACCTGGGTATTGTTCACACACAACAGCTCTGAACAAAGCTAAACTCAGGGCCTTGAGAAACGACGGGAAATCAGCAGCTCTTAGCCATGGCTACCTCTTTCTTAAACCGCTGTCACCTCCGCTTTCCCTTCAGCAGTGAGGTATTATGTAATTGTGACATCTAATAGGGGATACTTGACGTGTGGCTGAATCACCTGAATCCCAAATGCACGTTGAAGTAAGTAAGTGTGAAGTGGGCTTGGCCGCCAGTCTGCGCAACATAAGATGCACGATCGATATATAGGCTATTGTATGCGCTCTGCGAGTGTGTCGGGAAATTCACCGCTGATTGATCTGGTGCTGCTGTTACTGGGATTTTGTGGGGCTAGGCATAAAATCATTACAGCGATACAGACCTGGGAAAAATACATGCATAGATTAAATATTCAGTGAATTTTAACTTTGTGTAGTCAAGGACATGCTGCCATGTTTTCAACGCATGTTGAGCGACAAAAAAGAAGGAAAACACAGATTTGCTTCGAGAAAAAAAAGACATGATAATAAGTTCACTTATTTTGTTTATATAGCGAACGCCCTTATTTAAAAAACAAAATATATTGTTTAAATATGTAGGGTGAGATAGCATTTTTTTCAGATTGTTTTGCATACCTCTTAATGTTCCATGTTCTTATAAGTCACCAGCTAATATTTATAATATAAACTAAGAATGTATTTCTATCACGAGCTCTGAAGATGAACTCGTTGGTTAAAAGTATGGCCTATAAATAACATGCAGATACAATGAATTACTAAGAAACTTTAAAATTGTTAGAATAAAAACCGGCAACTTTTTTGCTTGATAAAACTCTTTAAAAATCCTTTATTCAATTTAAAAATTAGCAGTATATTGGTGTTAGATAAAAATTTTAAAGGGATTATAAGCAGCATGCTAAAAGGCATTCTCTTTTTTCCCCTAAATTGCGAGTACATAACAATTCCGAGTTTGTAAGACTAAGGCTGCTGGTGGACCCTAAAGAAAAACAAACAAAAGCACATAGTAAAAATATCTCTTTACTTACATTTCCTATTTCACAAACTGTCTCTTGGCAAGATTTGGCAATACCATTAGCTGTAGGTCTGTACTCGGTATACTAAGGGTGTGTTAGAGCTAGTTGTTATTGCGACAGTTGACCTCAAAATGATCACACCCAGTCATCTAACACAATGGACTGGTACATCTACACCGCTTTATGTTTTTGGCTGCCACTTGGCAATCAACTTGGGATATATTTGCCTCTTGCCTCTTGTCATCAAGTTTCTTGTCATCTTATGCCTTCGATGACGGAATGAAGTTGTAGGTGCTTTTGTAAAACAGTCTGTGATCTCTCTCTCTCTCTCTCTTGTTGAACCTGAATGAGTTTTTTAGATTTACTCAGAAAGTTATTTAAAATCATTCATGCATTTTGATGCTCACCCTATCTAACCTAATCACAGTGGGAAGTTAAAGAAGCTGAGTTAAACATGTCAGCAGAGATGTATAAATACCTACAATTCGATGCGGGAGATGGTATGTTATTCTGATCTCCTACACGGATGAACATCGATTGAAATTAATAGTCCATTTTTGATAAATTTTCCTCAATATCTAGTCCTACTACACCAGTGTAAATATCATAGGAGTAATAAGGCGTTTTCCCACAGAGAAAACTGCAGTCGGATATTTGACCAGGTGCATAGCAAACCCACCTCCCGTCGATCTAATTCCTAACATCTAACATCTTGGTTTGGTCTTTCTCTTTAACCCTTGCCCCGGGGTACCACAGTTTAATAAAACATGGTTGCATTTCGGGCAGTGGCATTCAGCAGTTCAGTTTTGACAGGTAACTTTTCAAAAGTTTCACGCCTCACTATGTAGTAGTGTAATACTGTGCCCGTGTTAGTGTGTGATGGATGAAATGCTTTGACACGCGAGAGTTATCTCACTCATCTGTCTTTAAGTGCGGTTCCTTAGACTTCCCTACATAGGAGCGGGGATGACTCTACAAATTACTTCATTCAGATCTCGACAGCATCATTATCAATGCACGCGGCAGTTCAGTTCGCGTGCTGTGGAACGTTAGGACGACGGTGAAGAAGCAGAACGCAGAACTTTAAAATCGACCAGAAAATCTGGAGAACTGCGCAAGCGTGGCACAACGAATACCTGCACTTGTAGACTGACATGGGAGAGAGACGCGGTCATCTATTTTAGTTCGTCTGAAAAGAAACATCGTGTTCAGTTCCCTACGCCCTTTTACTTCGCCTGATCTCGAAGCTAGTAGACTTAAAGGGGAGCATGGCTAAGGTAAAATATCATTTTTCTCATTATTTTATAAAACCAAGTAAGTATGTTATTTACTAAGAAAAAGAGAGGTAGAGAAGGGAGAGAGAGAGAGTTGCTACGGGCTTATTAATTCGATCAATGCGCCTGAATCGTCAATTTAAAGTATTATATCTAAAACTAGTTTTGGAGGAAAAATGCAAATACTATAGTAAAGTTTGTCTGATAGACAACTATTATATTGACATTAAATAGTATTTGTTACACTTAAGTGGAGACGGAAAAAATGAAACTAAGTGAAGGTTAATTTCTAAATTGGCAAGAGAGGAATTCCCTCGCGAGACGTCAGATTTGGTTTTAAAAATATTAGCTAAGAAGTATATTCGGCATAATACTATTACTTTGCGATCGATTCTAAAAACAGCTAGAATTTTCTCAGCACGGAGGACAATGTTTGGCTGGGAATCGTTATTTACTTTGAAAACAAAATATAACACCATTTCCCATCAAGGATGGGGATTCATTTGAAAAACTGACAGCAATAAACTTGGATTGAATACATCATTACACGTAGTATTAATTTTGATAAAAGGAGATCTGAATGCATCACAAATAAACAAAAGTGCTGTAATGATTTTGTGAGCATATGATATGCATAATGCAAAGAACAGGAATGTCACAAAAATGTCACAAATGACAGTAATGTCACAAAGGTTAGAAATGCAACATTTTATGCAACAAGATGATTAAATGGATCGAACACCAAGTGTTTTTTATTAAGTTTGTTTATTAAGTGATTTTACTAAACATTATCCGTACAGATTTTCATTTTCCAAGTTTCAACTTACGATTATGAATTCATCCTTTCGAAATTAACATATGCCATTGTGTGTGTGTGTGTGTGTGTGTGTGTGTGTGTGCGTGCGTGCGTGTAGGGCCTACTGTCAATATCCCCTACTCCCACTAAGGAATTCTATCTCTTGTTCCTCCTCGGTCCCACACAGTGCGTTCTGTAGAATTATTCAGTAGAGATATTCATGTTCGTCTTGACAAGTGAGAAGAAGAGCAATTAAAGTCGACACCTCATGCCCGGTGAACTAGGTTAAATGAAAGTCATGAACAGATGTAAGATGATAAAATATTTCTTCACATACAACGTGGTCATACACATAATGCGTGATCGCCATTTGGCAAATGAAGACGGCAGTTCATTCCCACTTAAATGAAAAGTTACACCTAGGGAGGTAGGACTATGATTGATTAAACCTTTGAATCTCTGAATTTTGTTTCCATATATTGCTTATATATATATATCACTTCTAGGAAACTATCAGGTCATAGGTTAATCTCTTTATTGTTAAATGTAATTTTGTTGAAGTAACCAGCTCAGCTGTTTTATATATATATATATATATATATATATATATATATATATATATATATATATATATATATATATATATATATATATATTCACTTCTAGGAAACCATAAGTAAGCCGCAATACCACATCTATATATACGAGGTCACAGGTTAATCTCTTTATTGTTAAAATGTATTTTTGTTGAAGTAACAAGGAAAGACAGTATTACATTACAGTGCGTGACAGTGGGTTGCAGGCAGTCCTGGCGTGAAGAACACTCTGTGCCGTCTAGGAATCTTACATGTTTCCAAATTATTTTATGCTACGTCGAATCAGCAATAATCTCAACGAGTTGTCAGGCGGTAAAGATTGGAAAGGTCCAAAAGCCGCTCTTTTTCATCAATTTCTTAGAATCTAACGAAAGGCTTATCTTTGACAACATTGCCGCGATGTAATTTCCCGCAAGCCTGCTGAATGAATCCCGGGGATATAAATGGATCTCAATACGGTGTAGAATCGAAGCATATGTATTTGATTAGACCATGAATGCACAAAAATTAAGTACCACAGGTTATTTATCTCCCAATATTGTGAAGATAACAACAGTTGACGGCTTAGAGTATACTGTATCTCAACTAGAAAATTGTTCAGGAGTAGTTTCACAGACTTCGCGTCGATATGTTTTCGTTCAACCATTATGTAGTGTGCGTTTTCTGCAACTGATCTATTTTCCTGAATTCTCACGCCGGCCATGTCCTTTGACACCGAAATCAAGCCATCTATCTAGCGACTGTGTGACACCATGGCCCAGGTCGCTCGACACAGCGAGACGATGGTTCTCGGCAGTGGTTCTACTATCAGATAAGATATGAAAATACACCATAGTCACGAACCCTACATACGTACACCTACACCCATAATTACAAGTCTTGCCCCAAGTGACAACTTTAATGATCAATAATGTGTGTGAGAATACAAAATTGCGGTGTTTTATCATATTAAAATACTTTTTACAGCATATTTAAGATATTTATTTGCGCATTTTTTTCTCTCTGTGTTTTGATCTTTCCCCGATGCCCCTTTCATTTCGTGTCTTCCAAGTTGATCTAAGATTATCATAGATGCTGCTATTTCTTGTTAGCACAGTATCATATTTCACTTATAGAACGGGGACTATGGGGTTTTAGCTTTATCTCTGTTTAAGACATTTATTTACGCTTAATTTTTGTCCCCATGGCTTGATCTTTTCATCCTGCTGATGTGGTATTGCGGCTTACTGTTGGTTTCCCAGAAGTGAATTTGGCATCATTATTTACACTTTCTTTTTGTCATCTTCTTTTGATTTATCATCTATGCTTATAAAATTATTATGATATTACATACCGCATTCTGGAAGAAAAATCAAATTATACCGGGTAAGCCTACAATTACGTTTACTTTGTGGGTAATTTTATTGTGAAGTTATGGCACTGTCTCATATAGTTTAGTGAATACAAGAAGTTTATCAACTTTGATATTTACTAATGCAACTAATGATCCAACCCCATGACCTGAAAAAGTTGAAATTACAGATAACAGGACGACCGCTCTCCGAGTTTTGAAGAATTTCCTCTTCGATATACCTCGTTGGTTATCTTAAAATGACGCAAACTATTCTCATCAAATTCTCTCTCTTGACTTAAATCACTGAATATGAACCTCGTTGACAGTGTGGGTGAGCTTGAAATCCGGCAATTTAGAGCGCCTTAAGGACGCGGTATGCACAATTAGGTTTGAACGCCAATCGATACTCAGGCCTAATGAACCGACATGCAAAAATTTGATAACTTCCAAAGGCAAGGGGCTTGAGAGCCGTGCCTTTTTAGTCCTAAGCGCAGATATTATGACGAAATATTTTGAGAGGCCTTCTTATCGTCAATTACACAAAGCAAGTTGAGGAAAAAGCAAGCAAAATTAATCCACTTAGTCAACTGACGAAGTATAGTCTAATTACCCGAGGCAAAATAAACATACTTCCGCATGGAACTTCAGTGAAATATCAGATTCATGAGATCTAATCCTTCTTAGGTCTGCTACTGTAAGTAAATATTTTACCAAACCTTTTTCGATAAAACAGCCATGAAACTGACGACCAGACTATCATCCGCCGTTGAAAACAAGCCTTCGGGTGATGGGCAGGCGGTCAAAACATGGTGGAGCGTGGAGTTACGAACAAATAAGAATTGAGTAATTTTGAGCCAAACTGTTTACTTGCTCCTCCCTAAGGATTAGGAAACTTATACCCATACATAGCCTCTTTTACTCATTTGCACGTAGATGGAATCCCCCTGCTTCAACTCGAGTATTCTGCAAAAAAGTTGAGGTGCGTACAATATTTTGGTTTTATGCACTGATATGTAGTCGTTTGGGTAAATTGTGCCAATAGTCTGTTGATGTTCACTGTATGAAATTCAAGGTAGGATCCACATAAAGTAAGTTTTTTGGTGGGCCCTATCTTCAAGAGAACACGCATTTATACTAGTCTGTGGGTACTGGGATGTGTGCGTGTAAGGGCGTGGATACTCTATCACCAATATTTTGTGGACAGATTGTTCGAGCAGTGTTTTTTACATTTCAAATGCTAAGATCGTGCAAGACGCTGCATGTTGAAAACTGGTGAGCGATTAAGTCATGGTTGCCAACGTCATTGGACGTATTAATTCTCAAAATGCGAATATCGTTTGCTGATCGTGCTAAAACAACAGAATATTACGTCTAAATCGTGTAAAAGGAGCCTGCAGTAATCCGCACAGTGTCGATACTGTCATTGTGGGTGAGGTGGGGGAAGTACTGGGACGGGGTGATTATATCTGACATCTTCTTGACAGATGCATTAACAGATTGAAAACGGTCGGAGGGCCTCTTGTTCAAGTTATCATTTTTCTTTTGTATAGTGTGAACAAGTGACCAGGTTGAGGTAGGAGAGACCCACCTTGTTTTGGAGAAGTCTGTAACTGTACGGGATGACACAAAGGTGTATTAAATATAATATATGTTGGCAATTAATTGGTGTACTGTTGTTAAAAAAGAGCCTTGGGTTTCTGGCTCAGACTTAGAAAAAGCATTGATTTTCAGTGCCACTGATTACTCTTCCCCAAAGCTACCGCTGGGTGTACTCTAATCAATGAGTTGCGTAAGCAGAAATACGAAGAAGAAGAAGAAAGAAAAAAAAGAAAGGCAGATTAATCAACAGTTTATGCATGGATCTACGTCATATAAAGCTTTTAGGTCTCACGCTGTTGTGCATTTCATGAACTCAATACAGCACGCACGGTTTCAGTTCCTGTACAAACGTTAATGTAAGGATCCTAATATTCAGCAGCATTTAAAAGCAAATGTCATTTTCGTTATAAACATTGGTGCATATAATCGTGACTTTTCATGCCTGCTTATTTAACTAAATATATAGAAATTCTTTTCCGGTAAGCTTGCCGTACGCATTAAGTAGACAGACGCAATATAAAAGGAAAAAAAGGGACCTTAAATAGAACGCACTCGAAGATGTATTTTATTAGCTGTGTATAACAGACCTCAGTGACATAGCACTGTATACTGCAAAAGCCCCAACTAATGTCATTATATTTGATAATGCTGCTGAACGAAGCCATGTCTCGAATACCTC